GCTAGCTTAACGGATATACTACTTATATACTTTTTTTTTAAATACATAAATATTATACATAGCCACACCCAGACCCGTCACAGAAATTAAAATTCATCATTTCAATTTCTGCCCGGCCGGGAATCGAACCCGGGACCTCTCGGCATAGTAGTCCGTTCTGAACCACTACACCAAACGGCCGACAAAATAGTGATGATGATGAAAGTTGTCCTTGATGTCACAGTGTTTATCTTAACATGCTGCTTGTATTTTCAGTGATAGACTGCGGTTTCCACAAGTTGCCTCACTTCTCCCCAAGCGTGGGCGTGGCGACTGTGAGCGTGGCTCCAATAGCCAAGAACAACGCCACGCAGCGCGCGGGACGCGCGGGCAGGACTGCGCGAGGGAAGTGCTACAGGTGAGTTGTAGATAGAGGGCAAGACAAGAGAGAGAGAAAGAGGGTGGAGGGAGAGAAAGAGAGAGAGAGAGAGAAGAGAGGGAGAGAGAGACAAAGAGAGAGGTGGTAGGGAGAGAGAGAGAGAGAGACAAGAAACAACGCCACGCAGGAAGCAGGTCTATAAGCGAAGAAGAAGTCCTGCAGGTGAGTTGTTAGAGAGAGATAGATAGAGAGAGGGGAGAGAGCAGGAACAACGCCACGCAACGGTCAGGACTATAAGCAGGAAGTGCTACAGACAAGTTCCGAAAGTTAGATAGAGAGATAGGGAAAATAAAGACAGAAACAAACAAGAAATGACAACACAAGGGGGCAGGACCAGTCGCGGCAAGGGTTACAGGTGCGTCGCTAGATAGAGAGAGGGAGAGAGAAAGAGAAGGATAGAAATCGAGAGACTAGAGACCTAGATTAGCGACCGAGATAAGAGACCGAGTCAAGTGACCGAGACAAGAGACTGACACTAGAAACCGACTCTAGAGACCGACATAAGACACAGCTACTTATAGTGATAGACTGCGGGTTCCACAAGCTGCCTCACTTCTCTCCAAGCGTGGGCGTGGCGACTGTGAGCGTGGCTCCAATAGCCAAGAACAACGCCACGCAGCGCGCGGGACGCGCGGGCAGGACTGCGCGAGGGAAGTGCTACAGGTGAGTTGTAGATAGAGGGCAAGACAAGAGAGAGAGAGAGAGGGGGGAGGGAGAGAGAGAGAGAGAGAAGAGAGGGAGAAAGAGATAAAAAGAGAGGTGGGTAGAGAAAGAGAGAAAAGAAACAACGCCACGCAGGAAGCAGGTCTATAAGCGAAGAAGAAGTCCTGCAGGTGAGTTGTTAGAGAGAGATAGATAGAGAGAGGGGAGAGAGCAGGAACAACGCCACGCAACGGTCAGGACTATAAGCAGGAAGTGCTACAGACAAGTTCCGAAAGTTAGATAGAGAGATAGGGAAATAAAGACAGAAACAAACAAGAAATGACAACACAAGGGGGCAGGACCAGTCGCGGCAAGGGTTACAGGTGCGTCGCTAGATAGAGAGAGGGAGAGAGAAAGAGAAGGATAGAAATCGAGAGACTAGAGACCTAGATTAGCGACCGAGATAAGAGACCGAGTCAAGTGACCGAGACAAGAGACCGACACTAAAGACCGCGACAAGAGACCGACACAAGACACAGCTACTCTCAGTGATAGACTGCGGGTTCCACAAGCTGCCTCACTTCTCTCCAAGCGCGGGCGTGGCGACTGTGAGCGTGGCTCCAATAGCCAAGAACAACGCCACGCAGCGCGCGGGACGCGCGGGCAGGACTGCACGAGGGAAGTGTTACAGGTGAGTTGTAGATAGAGGGCCAGACAAGAGAGAGAGAAAGAGATAGACAAAGAGAGAGGTGGTAGGGAGAGAGAGAGAGAGAGAGAGGCAAGAAACAACGCCACGCAGGAAGCAGGACTATAAGCGAGGAACGCTACTACAGGTGAGATGCTAAAGAGAGAAAAAGAGAGAGGGAGAAGTGAAAGAGAGAGGGAGAGAGGGATAGAGAGAAAGAGAGAATGAGAGGGAGAGAGAAGGAACAACGTCAAGCAACGGGCAGGATTATAAGCGAAAAGTAAGTACTACAGGCAAGTTCCGAGAGATAGATAGAGAGACAGGGAGAGAAAAGAGACAAGATACGATAACACACAAGGCGGCGGAACCAGTCGCGGAAAGTGTTACAGGTGCGTTTCTAGATAGAGAGGGAGAGAGAAAGAGGGGGATAGAAAGCGAGAGACTAGAGACCTAGATTAGCGACCGAGATAAGAGACTGACACTAGAAACCGACTCTATAGACCGACACAAGACACAGCTACTCTCAGTGACAGACTGCGGGTTCCACAAGTTGCCTCACTTCTCTCCAAGCGTGGGCGTGGCGACTGTGAGCGTGGCTCCAATAACATATAGAATAATAGATGGATAGGGGGAGAGAGAGATAGATAGAGAGGGAGGGAGAGAGACAGAAAGGGAGAAGAGAGAGGGGGCGAGAGGCCGGGAACAACTCCAAAATGGACAGGACTGCAAGAGGGAAGTGCTACAGGCTAGTTGCTAGAGATAGAGAGAGACCGGGAACAACGCCACGCAACGGGCAGTACTATAAACTAGAAGTGCTACAGGTAAGTCGTAGATAGAGGACAAGTCAAGAGAGAGACAAAGATGGGGGAGGGAGAGAGAGAGAGAGACAAGAAACAACGCCACGCAGGAAGCAGGACTATAAGCGAGGAACGCTACTACAGGTGAGATGCTAAAGAGAGAGAGAGAGAGAAGTGAAAGAGAGAGGGAGAGGGAGGGATAGAGAGAAAAAGAGAGAGGGAGAAGTGAAAGAGAGAGGGAGAGAGAGGTATAGAGAGAAAGAGAGAATGAGAGGGAGAGAGCAGGAACAACGCCACGCAACGGGCAGGATTGTAAGCGGGGAGTGCTACAAGCGAGTTGCTAGATAGAGAGAGGGAGAGAGAGAGAGAGGGAGAGAGAGAAAGAGAGAGGGAGGGAGAGAAAGAGAGAAGGGGAGACCGAGACTAGAGTGGAATAAGAGACCGACATAAGACACAGGTACTCTCAGTGACAGACTGCGGGTTCCACAAGTTGCCTCACTTCTCTCCAAGCGTGGGCGTGGCGACTGTGAGCGTGGCTCCAATATCCAAGAACAACGCCACGCAGCGCGCGGGACGCGCGGGCAGGACTGCGCGCGGGAAGTGTTACAGGTGAGTCGCTAGAGATAGATAGATAGGGAGAGAGGGAGAGAGGAAGAAGAGAAAGGGGGAGAGAGATCGGGATCAACGCTAGGAAGCAGGCAGGACTAGTCGTGGGAAGTACTACAGGCGAGTTGCTAAAGAGAGATAGAGAGAGAGAAAGAGAGAGGGAGAGAGAGAGAGAGACAGAGAGAGAAACACACGCAGCGGGCAAGACCAGTCGCGGGAAGTGCTACAGGCGAGTTTCTAGAGATAGAGAGGTAGGGAGAGAAAGAGACAAGAAACGACAACATAAGGGGGCAGGACCAGTCGCGGCAAGTGTTACAGGTGCGTTGCTAGATAGAGAGAGGGAGAGAGAAAGAGAAGGATAGAAATCGAGAGACTAGAGACCTAGATTAGCGACCGAGATAAGAGACCGAGTCAAGTGACCGAGACAAGAGACTGACACTAAAGACCGCGACAAGAGACCGACATAAGACACAGCTACTCTCAGTGACAGACTGCGGGTTCCACAAGTTGCCTCACTTCTCTCCAAGCGCGGGCGTGGCGACTGTGAGCGTGGCTCCAATAGCCAAGAACAACGCCACGCAGCGCGCGGGACGCGCGGGCAGGACTGCACGAGGGAAGTGTTACAGGTGAGTCGTTAGAGATAGATAGATAGGGAGAGAGAGAGAGAGAGATAGATAGAGAGGGAGGGAGAGAGAGAGAGAGAGAGAGAGAGAGAAAGAAAGAGGTGGTAGGGAGAGAGAGAGACAAGAAACAACGCCACGCAGGAAGCAGTATTTTAAGCGGGAAGTGCTACAGGTGAGTTGTTAGAGAGAGAGATAGACAGAGAGAGGAGAGAGGGGGAGAGAGTAGGAACAACGGCAACGCCACGCAACGGGCAGGAGTGCTACAGGCGAGTTGCTAAAGAGAGATAAAGAGAGAGGGATAGGGAGCAAGAGACAAGAAACAACGCCACGCAGAAAGCAGTACTATAAGTGGGAAGTGATACAGGTAATTTGTTGGAGAAAGAGTGAGAGATAGAGAGACAAGAAGCAACGCCACGCAGGGGGCAGGACCAGACGCGCAGGACTACAGGTGAGTTGTTAGAGAGAGAGGGAGAGAGAAAAAGAAAGAGGGGGATAGAAAGCGAGAGACTAGGACCGAGACTAGCGACCGAGATAAGAGACCGACTCAAGAGACCGAGACAAGGGACTGACACTAAAGACCGCGACAAGAGACCGACACAAGACACAGCTACTCTCAGTGACAGACTGCGGGTTCCACAAGCTGCCTCACTTCTCTCCAAGCGTGGGCGTGGCGACTGTGAGCGTGGCTCCAATATCCAAGAACAACGCCACGCAGCGCGCGGGACGCGCGGGCAGGACTGCGCGCGGGAAGTGCTACAGGTGAGTTGTAGATAGAGAGCAAGACAAGAGAGAGAGAGACAAAGAGAGAGGTGGTAGGGAGAGACAGAGAGAGAGATAAGAAACAACGCAACGCAGTAGGACTAGTTGCGGGAAGTACTACAGACTAGTTGCTAGAGAAAAATAGAGAGGGAGAGAGAGAGAGGAGAGAGAGAGGGAAGAGAAACAACGCAACGCAGTAGGACCAGTTGCGGGAAGTACTACAGACAAGTTCCTAGCGAAAGGTAGAGAGAGAAAGAGTGAGGGAGAGAGAGAGAGAGAGAGAGAGAAGATAGGAGGAGAGATCAGGAACAACGCCACGCAACGGACAGGACTAAGCGGGAAAGTGCTACTGGCGGGTTGCCAGAGAGAGAAAGAGAGAGGGAGAGAAAGAGACAAGATACGATAACACACAAGGCGGCGAAACCAGTCGCGGAAAGTGTTACAGGTGCGTTGCTAAATAGAGAGAGAGGGAGAGAGAAAGAGGGGGATAGAAAGCGAGAGACTAGGACTGAGATTAGCGACCGAGATAAGAGACTGAGATGAGAGACCGACACAAGAGACCAAGACTAGAGACCGACACAAGACACAGCTACTCTCAGTGACAGACTGCGGGTTCCACAAGTTGCCTCACTTCTCTCCAAGCGTGGGCGTGGCGACTGTGAGCGTGGCTCCAATATCCAAGAACAACGCGACACAGCGCGCGGGACGCGCGGGCAGGACTGCACGAGGGAAGTGTTATAGGTGAGTTGTAGATAGAGGGCAAGATAAGGGAGAGACCAAAAGAGAGGTGGTAGGGAGAGATAGAGAGACAAGAAACAACGCCACGCAGGAAGCAGGACTATAAGCGAGGAACGCTGTTACAGGTGAGTTTGTTAGAGTGAGAGATAGAGAGAGGAGAGAGGGGGAGAGAGCAGGAACAACGCCACGCAACGGGCAGGATTATAAGCGGAAAGTAAGTGCTACAGGCGAGTTGTTAGAGAGAAATAAAGAGAGAGGGGGAGAAAGAGACAAGAAACAACGCCACGCAGGAAGCAGGACTATAAGCGGAAAGTACTACAGACTAGTTACTAAAGAGAGATAAAGACAGAGGGATAGGGAGAGAAAGAGACAAGAAATGACAACACAAGGGGGCAAGACCAGTCGCGGCAGGTGAGTCGTTAGAGAGAGAGAGAGAGAGTGGGAGACTAGAGACCGATGCAAGAGACCGCGAGGGTCAGTGGGTCAGTCAGTGCTAGACAATGGGTTTCACAAGTTGCCTCACTTCTCTCCAAGCGTGGGCGTGGCGACTGTGAGCGTGGCTCCAATAGCCAAGAACAACGCCACGCAGCGCGCGGGACGCGCGGGCAGGACTGCACGAGGGAAGTGCTACAGGTGAGTCGCTAGAGATAGATAGATAGGGAGAGAGAGAGAGAGAGAGACATAGATAGAGAGGGAGGGAGAGAGACAGAAAGGGAGAAGAGAGAAGGGGCGAGAGGCCGGGAACAACTCCAAAATGGACAGGACTGCAAGAGGGAACTGCTACAGGCTAGTTGCTAGAGAGGGAGAGAGACCGGGAACAACGCCACGCAACGAGCGGTACTATAAACGAGAAGTGCTACAGGTGAGTTGTAGATAGAGGGCAAGACAAGAGAGAGACAAAGAGGGGGGAGGGAGAGAGAGAAAGAGCGCCACTCAGGAAGAGGGAAGTGCTACAGGTGATTGTAGATAGAGAGCAAGACAAGTGAGAGAGAGAGAGAGAGACAAAAAGAGAGGTGGGTAGAGAGAGCAAGAGTCAAGAAACAACGCCACGCAGGAAGCAGGACTATAAGCGAGGAACGTTACTACAGGTGAGATGCTAAAGAGAGATAAAGGGAGTAAAAGAGAGAGAGAGAGAGAGAGAGAGAAGTGAAAGAGAGAGGGAGAGAGGGATAGAGAGAAAGAAAGAGGAAAAGAGAGAAAGAGAGAGGAATAGAGAGAAAGAGAGAGAGAAAGACCCTCTCTTTCTCTCTCTCTTAAAGAGCAGGAACAACGTCAAGCAGCGGGGAGTGCTACAGGTAATTAGTCAGAGAGAGAGATAGAGAGTCATGAAACAACGTCATGCCGGGGTTATGACCAGTCGCGGCAAGTTACAGGCGCGTTGCTAGATAGAGAGAGAGGGAGAGAGAAAAAGAAAGAGGGGGATAGAAAGCGAGAGACTAGGACCGAGACTAGCGACCGAGATAAGAGACTGAGATGAGAGACCGACACAAGACACAGCTACTCTCAGTGACAGACTGCGGGTTCCACAAGTTGCCTCACTTCTCTCCAAGCGTGGGCGTGGCGCCTGTGAGCGTGGCTCCAATAGCCAAGAACAACGCCACGCAGCGCGCGGGACGCGCGGGCAGGACTGCACGAGGGAAGTGTTACAGGTGAGTCGCTAGAGATAGATAGATAGGGAGAGAGAGAGAGGAAGAAGAGAAAGGGGGAGAGAGACCGCGAACAAACACGAAGGGAGCAGGACTATAAGCGGTGAATGCTACAGCTAGTTGCTAAAGAGGTAGGGAGAGAGAGAGAGCAGGAAAAACGACACGCGACGAGCAGGACTATAAGCGGGAAGTAAGTACTACAGGCAAGAAACAGCGCCACTCAGGAAGAGGGAAGTGCTACAGGTGATTGTAGATTAAGAGCAAGACAAGAGAGAGAGAGAGAGAGAGAGACAAAAAGAGAAGTGGGTAGAGAGAGAGAGAGAGACAAGAAACAACGCCACGCAGGGGGCAGGACTATAAGCGAAGAAGAAGAAGTACTGCAGGTGAGTTGTTAGAGAGAGATAAAGAGAGGGGGAGAGAGAGAAAGAGACAAGAAACGATATCACACAAGGGGGCGGGACCAGTCGCGCAGGACTACAGGTGAGTTGTTAGAGAGAGAGGGAGAGGGAGAGAGAGAGACTGGGATAAGAGACTGAGACTAGAAACCGACTCTAGAGACTGACAGCAGAGACCGCGACCGCTTCTATCAGTGACAGACTGCGGGTTCCACAAGCTGCCTCACTTCTCTCCAAGCGTGGGCGTGGCGACTGTGAGCGTGGCTCCAATAGCCAAGAACAACGCCACGCAGCGCGCGGGACGCGCGGGCAGGACTGCACGAGGGAAGTGTTACAGGTGAGTCGCTAGAGATAGATAGATAGGGTTAAAGAGAGACAAAGATAGAAGGGGGAGAGAGACCGCGAACAACAACACGCAGGAAGCAGGACTATAAGCGGTGAATGCTACAGCTTGTTGCTAAAGAGGTAGGGAGAGAGAGAGAGAGCAGGAAAAACGCCACGCAACGGGTAGGACTATAAGCGGGAAGTAAGTACTACAGGCAAGAAACAGCGCCACTTAGAAAGAGGGAAGTGCTACAGGTGATTGTAGATTAAGAGCAAGACAAGAGAGAGAGAGAGAGGCAAAAAGAGAGGTGGGTAGAGAGAGAGAGAGACAAGAAACAACGCCACGCAACGGACAGGATTATAAGCGGAAAGTGCTACAGGTGAGTTGTTAGAGAGAGAGATAGATAGAGAGAGGAGAGAGAAAGACAAGAAACAACGCCACGCAGAAAGCAGGACTATAAGCGGGAAGTGCTACAGGTAATTAGTTAGAGAGAGAGTGAGAGAAGGGGAGAGAGAAAAATAGAGGGGGAGACCGAGACTAGAGTGGGATAAGAGACTGAGAGTAGAAACCGACTTTAGAGACTGAAAGCAGAGACCGCGACCGCTACTCTCAGTGACAGACTGCGGGTTCCACAAGTTGCCTCACTTCTCCCCAAGCGTGGGCGTGGCGACTGTGAGCGTGGCTCCAATAGCCAAGAACAACGCCACGCAGCGCGCGGGACGCGCGGGCAGGACTGCGCGAGGGAAGTGTTACAGGTGAGTCGCTAGAGATAGATAGATAGGGAGGGAGAGACAGAGGGGAAGAAGAGAAAGGGGGAGTGAGACCGCGAACAACAACACGAAAGGAGCAGGACATTAAGCGGTGAATGCTATAGCTAGTTGCTAAAGAGAGAGCGAGAGATGAATAAGAGAGGGAGAGAGAGAAAAAAGGGAGAGAGAGAACGAGAGAGGAGAAGAGAGAAGGAGAGGGAGAGAGATATATGGAGGGAGAGAGAGAACGAGAGAGGAGAAGAAGAGGGAGAGAGATATATGGAGGGAGAGAGAGAGAGAAAGAGCAGGAAAAACGCCACGCAACGGACAGGATTATAAGCGGAAAGTGCTACAGGTGAGTTGTTAGAGAGAGAGAGATAGATAAAGAGAGGGGGAGAGAGCAGGAACAACGGCAACGCTACGCAACGGGCAGGAGTGCTACAGGCGAGTTGCTAAAGAGAGGTAAAGAGAGAGGGATAGGGAACAAGAGACAAGAAACAACGCCACGCAAGGCGCAGGACTATAAGCGGGGAAGTGCTACAGGTGAGTTGTTAAAAAGAGAGAGGGAAAAAGCACGAATACCGCCACGAAGGGGGCAGGACCAGTCGCTCAGGACTACAGGTTAGTTGTTAGAGAGAGGGAGGGAGGGAGAGAGACTGGGATAAGAGACTGAGAGTAGAAACCGACTCTAGAGACTGAAAGCAGAGACCGCGACCGCTTCTCTCAGTGGTAATTTATAACTTTGGAGGAGTTTCCAATTGTTTTTGTTAATTAAATTTAAAATTATAAGTAAAATTAAACGTAAGTGTGAAAGAATCATAAAAATATATCTACAAATAGAGAAGTTATAAGGCCTTAAAGTTCGCGCCATGCGGACGGCTCAGCGTGTGACGTCACGCCACTCTAAAAGAGTACAATCAGGAATAACCTCTGACCCCTTAAGGCAATCGTAAATCAAACTGGCATAATAAGAAATATTGCGTATGTTTAAACGTAATTAGGTAAGTGTGGGATTTGAGGATCGACCACAATAAGGAAGCTTCAATTTTTTGTTTACTTCCGAGCGGGCGTTGTACTCGAGTAAAACGCTAAAATATTATATTCATGTATTTTCACTTATTTTTATTCAAGACTAACGTTATATTAATGTATTTCCAGGCTATACACGGAAGAGGAATACGACAAGTTGCCTCCTTGTGTGCCTCCAGAAATATCCAGAAGCGACCTATCCTCTGTCCTGTTGCAGCTGAAAGCCTTGGGTATCCATAATTTACTGCGGTAAGTACAGGTTCCGTTCCTGACAGGTGCCAATAGGCTCAATTGCACCATCTAACTTTAATCGTAACCTTACTTGCTGTTTTTTGTATGGAATTTGACAGACTTTTGACGTTTGTCAAAGTTATAGTAAGATGCTGCAACCCACCCTAAAATTATTATTATTAACGGGATTGCTACCATGCACTTCTATTAATGTATTTGTAAACGAAAAAAAGAAAAAGTTAGTAGGTACCCATTTGGTACGGAACCCTAAAAAAAAGATTTGACATTGACACATTGATAGGGATCTCAAGAGAATCTTTGCACTTTTTTTTTGAGAATGAACGGATGACTTGCCCCTTTGCTATGTGTTAGTGTTGCCGAACTATCGATAGTAAAATTATCTGAATAGTATCGATACTAGCGATAGTTTATTCTTCACGAGCAACAATACTATCGATAGTATTGCACATATTCAATAGTATTGCCACGTTTTGAGCTATCGATAATATCGATAATATCGATACTATCGATAGTCTTGCGATAGTTTGGCTATCGATAGACTATCGATAGTCGACTATCGATCGGCATCACTACTGTGTGTTTTCCAAATCTCCAACACTCACTAAAACAATATATTCCAAAGAAATAAATACATTGTTTATTTGCTTTATTTTTAACTTTCAGGTTCACATTCCCCACGCCTCCTCCAGCCAAAAGTCTTCTCTCTGGTCTAGAAACGTTATACGCTCTGAAGGCCATAGACAAGCTCGGCGATTTGACCACAGACACCGGAGTGCTTATGGCCGAGTTGCCTTTGAGCCCTATGTGTGCGAAGATGCTTTGTAACAGTGGTAAGTAATAAACAAAAGGGATAGAACTTTTGTGGTATATGACACATGCCTGCCATTTTAATATATTCTTAAAGTATCTGCGTTACGATACCATAAAGTATTTGGTTTTGGAGGTAGTAACACCGCCATAAGAGAAAACTTAAGATCACTAAAACAGTGATCAAGTGTTTGTATATGCGTTCCGTTGCATTCAAATGATAGTTCCCAGATAAAAGTAAATGGTGGGAATGCCAGCTTTCATAAAAAAAATTCGACCCTATGTCATGGACCTATAAAAAAAGGCGGACGGAACTCGCGCTACAACAAAACTGTGACGCAAAATTTTGGCGTTTGTCTATTGTGTGAGTGAATTTAGGGATGCCATGTTAGCCAAAACATTTTACCCATTTATTTTAAGAAAAACATAGATCGGCAGATGTTACTTGGAAATGTAGACAGAATTATTCCGTGCCATTTTAAAAGGATGAAAGGTGAATGCGTTGAGGTAGGCGCGAAATTTTCAATGTTCAAATTTTCTTACATTGTTTGCAAGTCAGTGTGTCAGGGTATGTACATAATGTTGATCAAAAATGATTCACGCAGTTACAAATTACGAATCTTGTGTACATTATAATCATAATCTTATGCATCATCAATATATCAATATCCTAGACTGCATCTCACTTAACACCAGGTGCGATTGCGGTCAAATACCTGCCTTGTCTAGCATAAAAAAAAATATAAATATTATTATTATCTCTGATAGATTTTTTTAAACATACAACCTGACTCTGACTTGCAATCAATGTAAGAAAATTTGAATTTCGCAGTTCCACATTTTTGGGAAGGATCAAATTTGCCTATGAAAATATATCCCATTAAAACACAATTATTATGATAAATTATTTTATTTCCATAGTATGCGTAATAAATAACTAAAAAGTCCTAAAATTATTATTAATTTCCCATATTTCGGGTAATTTTCCCACGTAAATAACTGAGAACACTGGTCTTTGACGTATTATTTTTTCGAGTGAATGACGTTTGATTTCAATTAATTTCAATATTTTAATGTCGGGAAATAAGTGATTGGATTATTATTTTGCCTGTGAAATGTGATTCCTTAATTTTTGTTTGTTCGAACAGAACGGTTTTTACACAATTTCATCACACAAGACATGTCGTATTCGTGTTGTTTTTTCGCTGCTTAAATGTGTCAACTGTGTGAAGTTTGCACTCGAAGTGGTGTATCAGGGTGTGAATGTGTGCGTGCCGGCCTGTACGTACAGGCAAGCTGGTGTATCCTAATGTCACAGTATTTTGTTGATGAGAATCCGTCCGACTTTTTTATAGGTCCATGCCCTATGTATTATGAACCCTAGTTTTAGAACCCTTGATAAAAAACTGAAAATATAAATGTCTTTCTATTATATGGGAAAATCTCGTAACATAAATTATAAATGTATCTCAGTAGGTTTCCAGTTTTGAACGCGACTATTCCCACCTCTCGTTCCCACCGCTGCAACTCTTGTGTAGCCAGGATCTACAGCTTGACCGCCAATACAAACCCAACCAATGAAGGTCAAGTTTGTCCCGGGGGAAAGTTAATATTTTTAAACCGGCAGACAGTGGTGACCGAGTTTGTTGCGGCGCTTCTTCTCAGCACTTGCCAAATGTTTGTCTCGAAGCGCTGGTAGAGCCAAAAAAGAATGAGACATGTTAGGCTCCTTAAGAGCATTTGACGATTTTTAAGTACTAATTTAATTAGATTAAACAAATAAAGATAATTTTGATTTTGATTTTTGATTTTGTCATTGGACGAAATTAATCAGAAGAGCATAGGATGAGTTCGAAGTTAAGGTTCGACTTCCCTCCGTTGCAATGATGACAATTGACAAACGAAGGTTTAGTAACCTAAAAGTAAAGTAAGTAAAAGTAAGAAAAGAAATTCAGGGTGGTGTTGCCATTATAAAACAAAATGAAAATGAAAAAAAAAAAAACATTTATTCAGTATCTTTTAAGTTAACATATTGTTGCAAGTGACTGGGGTCTCTTTTTAAGTATAATACCTGTGTTAGGAGGCCCCGCTCTTTCTTAGTTACAAAGTTACAAAGATACATAATTATGTTAGAAAAGCCACTAAAACTCACAAGTACCTACGTATTACTACTAGAATAACGCTATTTATCATTATAGTTTTGGTTACATTCAATAGTTTTGGTTATTCAATAGTTTTTACAAACAAACAGCTATTAAATGATAAGATGATCTTAAGAGCGTTGTAGCAAAAAGTTGGCGTTCGAATTTTAGGTTTTTATTGCTTGACGTCGCGTAGTGAGTGCGCAAACTGCATTTATCTGTACAATTTCAACGCTGCGTCGACTAAACGATCTTAATCCGTAGTTGTATCGTACCTAAGACAGTACATCATACATAATAATAAAGAAATAATGTACAATTTACCTATTTGATTTTTTCTCAGATCAGACTTTTAGCAAAATCAAGTTACGTAATTAATGTATTTTTTACACTAGTAAATCCCGCGACAAGTTTTTAATCTTTAAATTGAGTAAAGTAATAAGTTGATGGGTTTGAAAGAATTTATGTTTTATTTTATTCTTTTTACAGCATCAAAAGCTTGTTTATGAAAAATATTTACTATTTAAATTTTACTTTTGACTTTTTAGTTTTTATGATGCGGGATGGAAAAATTAAAATTTATTCTGATTTTGTGACGTTTCCGCACATAAATATGGATAGGTTAAATAAATAGAATGAAATGTATGAAAACGAGCGTGCCATTTTTTAAACGTTATCTATAATATCTGTGTCCATCAAAGAGCTCGTAACTAAACATCGTAAGCGCCATTCAAATTATTATCTAAAAGTTAATAATAAATATTTAGTTTTTGTAAATCTAAACAAGTCAGGAAATCAAAGAGGTAAATACTGATATCATTGTGATTTTATAGAATTTATTATTATAAACCACGGTCGTATAATGCTAAAAAATCAGAGGTAACTTTAAGATTTTTATCCATAGAGCAAAATTTATCTAATCGTGTTTTTAAACAGTTATCCCATTAGGTACACATGCGTTCTGTAATACAAACCCATCAAAAACAATACTTGTCAAAAAACCAAGTCTCACTACTCAGTTGTTCTACGGTAAAAAGTTGTGAGATCCATGTAATACCAAGTCCAGTCCAGGAAATCATTAACGTTTTACATAAATATATTGACTTGGCCATCGCATGAAAACACGTGTAAATTAAATTATTTAGTGCGAAATGAAACGAAATTTTGCATGCCTGTGTAGACATGCAAAATTTCAGCTCAATGGGAAAACGGGAAGTAAGTAAATTTTAAGTTGCAAGATTTTACAACTCCAGATGTCAAAGAAAATAAAAGCTTGTAGATAGCTTTACAAAGAAAAGAAAGATTTATGAAGAAAATAAAAAGTACTGTCTACGATACATTTGTTAGGCCGTGTTGCACCGTCTTACTTTAACATTGACATCAAAATTTTGGATGTCAAAAATCTGTCTAACATAAAACACCGGTTATTGTCAGTTAGGGTCAAAGTTAGGTGGTGCATCTCAGCCTTAGTGTATTTTAATTAAATTTAATACAAATAAGGATGACGAAAATAATCGATAAGTGATCTCACTCGAATATTTCTTATAGTAGGTATACAAGATGTCGAACAAATGGTTACTTACTGAAAAAGTGCTTCATGAGACCTAGCAAACGGCATCAATAATATGTTTAAGAACGAACTGAATCTATTCAAAAAACCTATATTTCCAGCTTTCATACATTTAATACAGTTACAAACAAACACGAAATCAATGGTTTCTGAGAATTCTGAGTGCCTTAATGCCGTCCCCTTTATCTGTTTATTTAGTATTTATTAATTAGTATCTCTTGATGATATTGTAGCAAGTTAAACCTAAAATCATGTTTTCCGTAAATAATTTAAATAAGAATGCAATTTACGAGTTTGTTGTTTGATTATTATATATTACTCAATTAAAAATTTAAATTTAAAAAATTAACACTTCTAATATGGTAGGTATGGCTGGCGGCATACATTTAGTATGAAATTCGGAAACATTGAATTTTCGCATAGATCCAGTTTATTCTTTGACCTATTTATTGTTATTGTTTTAAAGAGCTCATGAAGCACTTACAGGAACAGTAAACAGTTTCTCGATATCTTGTATAATTAAAAATCAAGTGAAATCACTTATCGTTTCCACCCTGTACCTATACTTTTAAAAATAAACTCATTTTATACGTTCATTTGTATAAGTATCTACAATACAAATACCTAACCAACTTAGTTGACGTTTTATAAAACTATTTGTCTAAGTGTCATCGAGCGACCGCTGGTGGATTTGCCATTTACCTGACCTACCCCTTTATTACTAAACGTTTAATATCAGATGAATAGTTACGCACCAATTTCTTTCATTCAGTCGTCAGTAATTGAACTTTCGGAAAAACATGACGAAGCGTTGTGTGACCATACAGACGCTATTCAACTTTTATTAGTAAGGAAGAGTATATTTTATGTTGGTAGAAACACAATAGCATAGACTAATGTTTTGACACCCTGTTAAAATTTTTATTAGTCATTTATTTTTTCCTGACCAAACAGATACCATAATAATATCTTTTATCTATTCTACCCATATTCTGTAAGTAAAATAATAAAAAGTTTGAAAAGAAAGAAATTACAAGTCCGATTTACCTAAACAAATAAATTAAAAATACTTGCGGATCAAAAGTACTCAATCATACTACAATTTACGAAAAAATCACGCGTGACGCATATACGTCAGTGGGCAGTCAACTGACATAGACCCGGCGTCTACGAGTGCCAAAGCACGACTGATTTATGCCATTTGATGCACCCGATTTTATAGTATTTTCAAATTAATTTTTCATTTGAAGATTGAAGATAGATATTTTTTCTTTTTCACACAATAATAGTACTATGTTTCTTCTTAAGTATAAAGTAGTTTATGTTGCCAAATGACTTTTAGATTATGAGATGTGACCTGTTTTCTTGCAGTAATTTTCTCGAATTTTGACTATCTTAGACATGATAAAAATGCATTTTAATGAATTAAACATCAAAATTTTCTCAATACACTTTCTTCTTCAGGGTATGCTTATTCTAATGAATACATTCTATCTTCTTACTTAGAAATAAATTTGTTGTAATATTAGTTCAAAGTTGTGCCTTCGCGAGTTACCTGGAAATCGGGCTTTCGAAATTCGCTGTTTTCGTAGGCAAAAATCCAATTTGAACGAGATTTTGTCAATAGACATTCCGTAAAAACGTATGATAATTACGATGATATAAGTCAAAAGAAGCTATAACAATAAATTATATGACTAAAATCATTTCGAAATCTGCCAAATTCTCGATTTCTGCATGAAAAATGTGACAACGCTCTTAAATGTTTTTTTATTTTCGCAGGCGAATTCGGGTGCATAGACGAGGCTTTGTCCATAGCGGCCATGATGCAAGTAGACAGCGCGTTTGCAAAAGGAGGTACTGGCAAAGAGAATATCGCGGCTAGAATGGCGAGAAGGAACAACTTTGAGGTATTAAAGTCATATAATCTGAAAACAATTTGAAAATTATAAATAACTTGAAAAAAATTAAACAACTATCTGAAAACAAGTTTTTAAAAAGCGCTTTTACACGTCCCAGTATGAAGCTGCGCAAGAAACTCACGCCCGTATTCACAAACATTAAATAAATAATAAATAAATTCTTTATTTCCACCACAACATTACATGTTCACTATATTGCATTACATAATGAAGTTGAGAGTTGTTAAGTTGAAAATAGGGTAAGTAAACACATAATATTGGAGAGGACTGGAGCCTAAACTAGGAAATTCCTGTATTTCAGGCCTCCAGACTCTCCGCCCGAACCGTATGTTATTGTTTAATTTTGCCTATTACTAGTATACAAATATAGAAAAAAAAAAATAAACCAGAGAATCTAAGATAATTTAAACCTATGTAACTCAGGAGGTGTGTGTGTGAGTGTGCGAGTATGTGTGTGCATGCGCGCGCGCGTGTGTGTGAGAGTGTGTGTGTGTGTGTGTGTTTGAGAGAGAGAGAGAGTGTGCGAAATGATAAGTTTGGTGATAATTTAGTACCAATAAGTAATTACTAAGGATTATCTTGCATAACTATGAGGTATAAACATTACTATGAGGTCTCACAGTGCGCGTGGACGCACAGGGTCACACACGAACCAATCGCAAAGCTCTATTCAACGCTGTGCGTTCGATTTGCTGCTTCACTGAATGAATACGGGCGTTTGAGAGAGTCGTGCAACTGCAGTGAATACTAAGCGATAATGATGATTACAAACTAAGTATTCATTTATGATTTACTAGCGGCCGCCCGCGACTTTGTACGCGTGGATCCCGTTTTACCGCCTTAGGGGTGGAGTTTCGTAAAATCCTTTCTTAGCGGATGTCTACGTCATAAGTTATGACTCATAACATCTACCTGCATGCCAAATTTCAGCCCGATCCGTCCAGTGGTTTGGGCTGTGCGTTGATAGCTCACTATGTCAGTCAGTCACCTTTGAGTTATATACAGGGTGTTAGGTAAATGGGTATATGAGCCGACACTAGCCCATGTTAACATGGTCATATAAATGGTATAGTGAAGTCAGAAAATTGATATCTTAATTTTAATTATTTTAATTTTCATACAAATCCGATTTTATAAAATTTATTTTGTATGAAAATTAAAAAAATTAAAATGATGATATCAAATTTCTGACTTCACCATACCATTTATATGACCATGTTAACATGGGCTAGTGTCGGCTCATATACCCATTTACCTAACACCCTGTATATCTTCGCTAATCTATACTAATATTATAAAGAGGAAAGATTTGTACCTATTTTTGTATGTTTGTAATGAATAGGCTCAAAAAGTACAGGGCCGATTTAAAAAATTCTTTCTCCATTCAAAAGCTACATTATCCACGAGTAGCATAGGCTAAATTTTATTTTGGAAAAACATAGGGTTCAGGGGTCCAAGCGCGCGAAGCCGCGGGCGGAAAGCTAGTTAGTTATAATCTAAATAGATTGTCTTTTGCAGGTAGCAGAAGGCGACATAATAATGTACCTGAATTTATACGACGCGTTCGTGAAAGTGAGAGACGCGCAGCCGGACGAAAGACGCGCGAGAAAGGCGTGCAAAGACTGGTGCAGGAAGATGTATGTCAATTACAGGGTTATGGAGAAGGTTAGTTAAACAATAATTTATGTCTTTTGCTTTATCTAAGAATTAGCTTTTGCCCGCGGCTTCGCCCGCGTGTAGTTTTGTCTGTCACAGAAAAATTTTATCGCGCGCGTCCCTGTTTCAAAAACCGGGATAAATACTATCCTATGTCCTTTCCCGGGACTCAAACTATCTCTATGTCAAATTTCACCATAATCGGTCCAGTGGTTTAGGCGTGAAAGCGACACAGACAGACAGAGTTACTTTCGCATTTATATATTTGCCGCATTCAGCGGCCTGAGCTGTGGTTAGGTCAAATGAACGCAGATCGCACAGTCAAATCACATCAATACAACATTTGAACAAGAAAGTTCACATTGTTATTTTTTCTGGACCTTAAAAGAGTGTGATAAAAAATAGTATGGATTAATCATTTATATCAAAATAGGTGAATAAACTAGTAAAAGTCATTACTTATTGATTTTTTTCTGACTGCGATTTTTCTCGCATACATTTCGTTCTGTTGAAGAAAGTTTAAAAAAGGGTCAATTATTAACTTCTATTTTAAAAATCTTACCTTCTTTATTCCAGGCATGTGAGATCCGATGCAGCTTAGAGAAACTAGTCAAAAATAAATTTAAACTGACGAACAAAACCTTCGAACAACCAGACCTGGGATTAGGTAATATACCTACTATTTTAATAAAAATCATCAATTTATTATTTGCAGTCAGATACACACGAGTACATGCTGGTTTTAAATCCAGGTCATACAACCATTGCAACTTACCATAAGTTTACAAGGTGTGCTCGCTAGCGACTACGTAAAAACTACATTTAATGTGTGGCGACACCGACGATACGCCACTACAAACTATGTACCAACAGATGGCGCTGTCACAACTACACTATGGCACACTCCGCCGCTCATACAAACCTGCATCGCGGTGACGGAGTTTTCTACCCTGCCAAGTATACAACGTGT